AAAAAAAAGCCCAGCAATAATAAGAGCAACAGTAATAGCTACCACTTGTATGTTCCTCATTTAATCCTCACAAATAACACTATGATGCAGATATTATTACTGACATTTTACAGGTGAGGAAACTGAGACCGAGTTCAGGACAAGGGGTTTGGTTTGTCTTTTTCCATTAAATTAGGTAATTTCAATATCAAAGAAAGAATTACTTCGTTTTAATTACTTCCATCTTTTTCTAGGAAATATCCTTCACAGCTGAGAAAAAGACCTAAAATGGACAGATACAGATTTGGGATCATCCTCTTCTCTGTCTATCAGCCCTCTGTTAGAATAATGAACCAAGTGAGAGATAGATTGGGATCAAAATGGAACTGAACTACAAATAGAGAGTCCTAATATCTTATACTGACTATCAGTCCTTAGTCTTTTAATAGTTGCCTGATGGTTTCTAGATACAATGGCCACTGGCTTCCAGCTTAATGTTGAGTTTATGGAGGGATGGTCATGTAAAATTGTTCAGGAGTCATCCTCCCTTTTGGATTTTTAAAATACACTTACTCCTCACTTACAGACTATCTCAATACCTGACATTTTGCATTTAAGACAACAGTAAAAATATCCACTATCCAACTATTTTGCACATTAACGATGTACCTCTGCCAGTAATGCACACCAACGTGAGAGTTAACGCTGGCTATGGTAGTTAACGTTATGTGTCGGTGTGGCTGAGCCATGATTCTCAGTGGTTTGGCGTTATGTAATGATGTAATTTGGCAGTTACATAATTATGTATTTATCCTCCATTTTGTCATCTGATATGATCATTTTCCATTTTCCCACAATACCAATTTTCACATAATGACCTGCTCTTTGGAAACTAACCATGTCGGTAAGTGAGAAGCGGGTTAAAAATTTACTCCCAAAACTAAAGTTAGTGATTTTAGATCAGAGTTATTCTATAGTTTTAATTTTATTTCCACCCATATCATACTTTTGGGCTTGGAGCTAGCACTTGCAATCCTCAATAATCTGCCAACTCCTCTGCAGTCTTCCCACCTTCCCTTGATGCCCAGAACTTATATATCTCTTCATATTGATGGAGTGGGTTATTTTTTGTTTGATCAGTTAGCTTTTTTTTTTTTTTTTTTTTAGTACTCTATATAATCTTTTCACATGCATTAAGCTAAATCCCAACTGAGAGCAGGGAAAACTAATTAACAACTTTGTAGATTGTCTTCTCTTATCTGAAAGCCTTTCTCTTTTGATTAGCCCTTCAAGTTTATGGAAACATACCTTTCATTGAAGGTCACGTAGACCTCCATGAATTTTTTTTCTTAAGTACAAAGTAAATTATCAAGGGAGCATCCCTTATGTAAGATACATATACAAAATTTCTATAATTCTATAGTTCAAAATAGTGACTACAGAAAATTATAGCTCATTATTTGGTTAACTGTTATTTGCTGCTGTGATTTTTAAATGCCAAGAAGTTTTTAGTTTTTAGCATCAGTACCACATATTAAGTGTTCTTGGCCTTTTCCCAACTATATTATAAAGCCCCATAGAGTGAAAAACATGGCTTCTACTCACATACAACTCATAAGGTGCTTTTCCCACACTGGGCTTTCCAACAATGATCCTCTTACTTACCTAACAAAATAATAGATTACTAATATCCGAAGCTCTGGTAGCATAGTGCCTGAGACACTTGACTGCTAACCAGAAGGCTGGCGGTTCAAACCCACCAGCCACTCCTCAGAAGGAGGGTTGGGCAATCTGCTTGATGTGATACTGCCTCAGAAACCCAAGGAGGGGTCGCTATGAGTCGGGTCCTACTCAACGGCACATAAGAACAATATCCAAAGCAACTATCGGAGCATATTCTGTCTCCACTGGTTCCAGGCCTTCACTTGCTCTAGTGAAAGAAAAGTGGAAATGCTCAATGAGCAACTGCCAAAAGGATTTTTGGGACCTTCCTCAGCTGGTCATCCTCTCTGAATCTTACCAATGTATAAGATCAAGGCACCGCTAGAACTTCAATCTGAATTGCTTTCCTTTATGAGAGTGACTTCATTATGCTGTTAGTTTCAGGAGCAATTAAATCAATCAAGACATAAAACAAGTATCTGTTGGGTTTTTCACATTTCAGAATATGAAGTTATATCCAGAGAAAATGGGACAGTCAGTGCGAAGGACAAGTCCATTCAAGTTACAAATCAAACTTTCTCTACAGTAGAAAATCTAAAACCAGACACAAGGTAAGCCACCGTGCTATTACAGGTGAATGCTGAGAATGCAAAAGTCATGGCCACAACCAAGGAGTTAAATTAGATCATCCTCTGTGTCTTTGGAGATGGTGTAGTTTGTGTTTCACTCTTTGGCTTTCTGTACATGCACTAGTACCTGTGAAATCATGTTTTGTTGCCCTCCAAATATGCAATATATTAATGTGAATAGGATAGCTGTCAAAATAGTAAGTTAACATTATAAACCAAACCTGTTGCCATTGAGTTGATTATAACTCATGGTGGCCCCATGTGTGTCAGAGTAGAACTGTGCTCCATAGAATTCTCAGTGGCTGATTTTTCAGGAGTCAATCACCAGACCTTTATTCGAAAGCACTTCTGGCTGGACTGGAACCCCGACTCTACTACAATCTTTTCAAGGGAAAAGGAAGTGTCTAATTCATTGTAGATGGTTTGTTATGTACAAACCTTAGTCCTATACTGAAAAACTAGCACTTTTCTGCAAGTTAATTTTTCTGTAAGGTTTTCATTTTCAGCTATGACGTGGAAAATTTTGCAACTTAATATGCATAAAGGGTTTAAGTTAGCCAAAATAATCATATATTTCAGTTAAAGCCTTTTTTATGATATTGGTTCTATTTCCTTAGTGAGATTGATAGGGGAAAAGCCTATTTTACCATAAGATATTTTCAGAAAAGAGTAAAAAAGAAAAAGTCATTTCATTTGGATTTTTTTAATAGGTGAATTTGGACCAGAGCTTTGAACTGGTTCGAATTAGTTTAGTCATGGCCCACAATGCTAAATCAGAATGGACTCCAATTTTTTTAATTTGGGTGATCCAGAACAAAAAGGGGAATGGGAAAAAATATGAGTTGTTTTGGAACGGGAGACATGGAAGAGGCATAGCAAGCTCTCTCAGAAGCCTGATACATAAGATTGGATTATTGGCAGGACTATGGAGAGCTACAGACATTCAAAACTGCACAGTAGGCCGCTGTCTTTAAGCAGGGCACTGATTTTTCCCATTCTGCTCAAAATCTAATGGGCAAAAGATTTGATTACTATACAGCGCATATACTGCCCTTGTTTTCTAAGAAGGAGATTAAGTTTCTAGCAGGGCTGCAACTCATAAATTTTCCCACTCTGGTTATTGTTCAGGTTCACCTAAATTTTAAAAATTTGGATCTGTTCTAGTTTTGCTTCCTTGTCCCTGACAGCACTGGGAAGAACCAGCCCTGATTTGGGCATACAGAGCTTGGGTAATTTTTCTCTTCAGATTCTGATTTTTTATTGCATTTTATAAAAGTAGGCTGTGTAGTAATACAGTCATTAAAAGACATCACAATTTCAATGTGTTCCTTTCTGAATCATGCTCTCCTCTGAGCTTCTCACAGTACACCTGTTTGATCATGGCTAGAATGTAGAACACAGTTATTCCAGTGACAATTTAAACCAATGGTTGTAAACATTTTGCATTTCCATCCAACTAGTATTTATTGAAAACCAGCTTAAACAGTGGTGTGATTAGTTTCACAGCTACAAATGTGGATAAACTTGGTGCCTGCCCTTGAAGAACTTGAATGTAGAAGGGTAGGTGGTTAATAATGGCTTATTCCATACAAAGTAGTAAGAGCTCTGGTCTAGGTATAAATGAGGTGCTATGGCATACCAGAGGGGGCTGCACCGAGCACAGACTGGGAAATTAGGAAAAACTTCCTGGAGAACGTGACGCCTGGGCTGAAGCTTGAAGAATGAATAGAAAGGAGTTAGTCAGGTAATTGTGGCAGTACAAGGGAGCATCAGAGAGAAACAGTACATGTGCACAGGAGCTTGAAATGACGTGGTTGTGTGCAGTACACAAAACATTGTTTTTACCAATATGAATGGTGAAAAGTAACTAGAAGTAGAGGAAGAAAGAGAAGTGGAAGCCAAGTTGCAGGGAGCCTTATCTGCCAGATCAGGAAGTTGGGCAGGAGGTAGTGAGGCCCTGAATGGTGGTAATTGGCGTATGTCTTACTCTGACTTTAATTTTAGTTGAAACAACTACTTTTGATACTAGGGCTACTTATAATGAGTAACAGTTCTGAATCTGGAATATATCTAACAAAAAAGAACATTTTGTCAATGTTTTAGGCAAGGTGCCCTTTTTGTTCTATGACCTAAATGGGTAAAGATGAGTAAGAGAAAAGTGACTTTGGCTTGAGCTGCATTTTATTCTGTAAATTATAAAGTTGGTCAGATAATGAGCTTCACACCTAGCTTCTCTTTGTAATTGTCTTAAGACTCATACTAAATTGTTTGCCTCTGACCAAAAGATAATCATGGGTTCTCTTTACCTACCCTCATGGTGTTTATCTTGGTTATCTCTCTTGGCCTTCATCAGTGGGCCTTTTAAGAAGGATCTTTATAACCTATCCTTGCCTCAAGACTAAAAACAAAAAACAAACCCACTGCCATCAAGTCATCCTGACTCATAGCATCCCCAATTGGGTTTCCAAGGTGGTAAATCTTTATGGAGGAAGATTGCCCCATCTTCCTTTCATGGAGTGGCTCATGGGTTTGAACCACCAACCTTCTGGGTAGCAATCGAATGCCTTGGGCACGTACCACCACAGCTCCTCAAGACTAGACAAGGCTATAGGAGGCTCTTTCTGAATTCATCTTTGGCAGGAAGGAAGCAATAGTAAATCAAGGTTACAGATCCCTGATATCAGGACCCTAAGCTGAGTTTTACCACCTGGCACTAATTTGGGGGCATTCATTGTATCTATATGTGGCTTACTTAATGGTATTTTTAGGAATTTGTATGATTGAATAAAACCCATTAGGGTACCAAGACTGTTAATGTTCATATAAATAATTTAACCAGAATTATACTGTTGTTGTTGTTGTTGTTATGTGCCATCGAGTCGGCCCCAGCTCATAGCGACCCCTCCTTGGGTTTCCGAGGCAGTATCACTACGGAAGTAGGATTGCCCAAGAATTATACTGGTGGTCCTTAAACGATTGGTTGTGATTTAAAACTTGCAAATCAGTAGTTTGAAGTGAAAACATTTTCCCTTTTGGAGGGAAAATTTAATTCACACAAATATAATGTGTTCTGCTAAAAATTGTTTAGTCCACAATATGTGACACTTTGTAGTGGTCGAGTTGTTCCATAGATTCAAGCACCAATAAGCCTGTGAATGCATTTCACCTCAGGGTTCACGGAGCTATGGCAGAGACTATTATAATTATATATTTAATGGGGGGTTGGGCTGACATTGAAATTGTGTGTTGAAATGCCACTAAACAAATAACTTAATGAGCTGGGGAAGAATAAAATAAAGTAGAATTATTTCACTTAATTCGAGAATGTCTAACCTTAAATGTATACTAGGAAGTAAAATACACCCATGAAACCATTGGAGTGCATTACCAGGCACTACACAAGAGCATGCCAAATGTAGACTTTGGTGCAATTTCTGGGATTTAGAAGAAGGGGAGAAAGCTTCGTGGACTACTTAGCACTAGAACTTGATGGTAAAGGATGGGATGAAGGAGGCAGGCTGACAAGGAAAGGAAAAGCAACAGCAATGCTTTGGAAAACTGAGTACATAAGTGCGATGTAGACGGAATAGAGTAGCTTGTAACGTTACTGCTGACAGCAAGGTCACAGGCAAATATTCAAATTATAAGTTCCCAAATTTAGTTTTATTGTCTTTTTCAATTTAAGCACTTTTCATACTACCTTTAATTGTTAAGAACACCATTTCTTTCCATTGTATCTCATCTACCCCAACTATGATCCAGGATGAAAGCTAATAAAACACACACTGTAGAATAAAGAGGAAGCATGCACAGGATGAAGGAGTCTGATGGTGCTGTGGTTAAAGCACTGGGCTGCTAACCAAAAGACCAGTGGTCCAAACCCACCAGCCACTTTGTGGCAGAAAGATGAGACAGTCTGCTTCCATGAAGATTTACAGCCTTGGAAACCTTATGGGGCAGTACTACACTGTCCCATAGGGTTGCTATGAGTCAGAATCGACTTGATGGCAGTAGTTTTGGTTTGGTATGCATGGATGCAGCCACCAGGTGGTTTTTATTAGCTACAGAAAATGACTCTAGTCATACATCAATGCTTGGAGAAAAAAAAATTGAATCAAAATATAAGAAAAAAAATGAATTTCAAAAATAGTCAAACTTTGAATTATAGCTGATAAAATTCCCTTATGAGGTTCTGGAATTCCCTATTTGAAACACAGGAATATAACAGCTTCTGAAATATTTACTATAGTTGTGTTCCAATATTATGAGATATATGTATGTCATTTCTTTTCATAGTGTTTTCTATCATTTGTCTGACTAAGAAACCTGAGATCGGAAAACAGACAGTAATTACTGGCTAATCTCCAGAAGGCTGGTGGTTCAAACCCACCAGCCACTCCTCAGAAGGAATCTACTTCCTTAGTGATAACGCCTGCCTCAGAAACCCAAGGAGGGGTCGCTATGATTCAGTTCCTGCTGGAGGGCACATAACAACAACAACAATCTTCACAGACTGACATGGGTGGCGTAGAGCTTGGTGTTAAAATGTGTAACCTAGGAGGATCAAGGCACAGATTTTAGATCTACACAGCTTTTTTGGTTAGAAATTCTAAATGTTCACACACTGTTCTAGAATCAAACTGTTCCCTTTTTCTCATCATAGCTTATGCCAACCTTCTCCCTGCCTATTTTTATGTTTCAGCCAAGCTTTTCTTTATTCTGCAGAAGCTCAAAAAGTAGCCCATGATAAGGGACCGTTCAGCTGCTGTTTTGCTGATAAGAGAGTTCGGCTCCACACCTGGTGTTATTCACATCTATAGAGAGCAGAGCTGCATAGCTGCCGCTCTGAGAGCACTTGGGTGGAGCTCCAAAGGCAGCACAGGGGCTGCCAGCCCCTTTGTCAGGGGTTGCCTGGTTGTCGGGGAACTCTAACTGCTTTCTTTAGTCAAGTAAAGCAGGAGAGTTCTGTTATCATAGGCTAT